TATTATTATTGGAATTATTATTGTTATTATTATTTTGATTATTATTATCGTCAGTAAGACTGCCTTGACCTCCAGAGTCTAGTGAGCGTTTTCGCTGAGCTTGACCTTCTCCCTGTTGGAGTTGTTTTAGCCAAAAGGTGACCTGAAATTGGAAATTTTGGTACCAAATTTGAATTTTTTAAATTTTTAAATTTTTTAATTTTGGGTTTTTTTTTCAAAAAATTTTGAATTGAACCTGTTCTCGAGTGTAGTTGAGAAGGTATTTGAGCGCGCGTTCGGCGTCGAGTCTGCTGTTGCAGCTCTCTAGCAGCACCTCCCGGGTGCACATTATGTCGCACGCTAAAACGCGACATCTGTGTGCGTAACCTGGAGATTTTTAGTAGTATTGTTATTGTTTTTAGTATTTTTTAATATATTTATTATTATATATAATATTTATTATTATTTATATAATATTTAATGTTATATATAATATTTATTATTGTTATTTTTATTGGAATTTACGAACCAATAAGAGATTTATCCGTTTGAGTTAAACCATCGTAAGGGCCACAGCGTTGCGCACCACATTGTCGTTGTAGCGCCGGGGCGGCTTTCGTATAGCATGACAGAAGGGATTCCATCTGAATTTGGAGAGAAATTTGAAAATTTGCTAGATTTAGAGCTGCAAGAGATTTAGTGGTCCTGCAGCGATCAAATTTAGAGGTCAAAGGTCAGTTGGCATACCTCGGCATAGTGTTGTTTACAAACGAAATCGCGCATATTGAATTGCACGGTGAAGCCGCACTCCCGAAGGCATTTGTCGTGTTCTGAGTCGTAGCGACAGAATAGCATCAGGTCGGTGGCATCCACCACTGGGGGCACTCCAATTGAGCCGAATCCCTGGTGGACCTGGGAGGGGGTCAAAGGTCAAAGGTCAACTGGGTATTTTATTGTATATACATAAATATTTATTATTATAGTAATTATTATTATATATAAAGGTATTTGATTATTATATATAATAGTATTAATGTATCTGGAATGAATTTTTTTCGCGCTAAAAATTAAATTTTTGACCTAAATTTGGTCAAAAAGCGCGGTAAAATATGCATTTGGCGCTTTCTCTCGCTCTCTGGCACTCTCTTTGGTTGTACGCAGTGATTAGTGATCTCTCGTCCTCTGGGAGCAGATAGTGTTGTATCGGAGAGGTGGCAGACAGCGAAAGGTTAAGGTAGGAGACGGAGAGGACAGTCGTTAATTAAGTGTCAGTTAAATTTTGCAATCAGTGTGCGTTGTGTTGGTACCACTGAGTGGTCGGTAGGGTGTTGGGCTGTGTGGTGAGGTGTAGTGCTGGGTGTTGCGTATTGTTTATTATTGGGTGACGTGGGTGTACTGTTCATTGGGTGTATATTATTATTGTATATGTACAATAATATTGTACATTATTAATTACTACATTACTAATTATTACTAGTTACTACATTACTACATTATTATGTAACTGATAAGGTTATCAGTACTTATCAGTGGCTTATCACTAGGTTATCAGCGGATCATATTCTATTCCACTGGTCTACTCGTTGTGGACTGTGGTTGTATTATTTATTGTTATTATTTGTTATTATTTATTATTATTTGTTATTATTATTTATTATTACTGCTACCTTAAGCATTTGAAGACTTTTCTGTATAATTAGCGTGAAACTGAGACGTCTCACTCGCCAGACGGGTGGTACCATGGGGTTATTATTTATTATTGTGGATGTGTATATATTATATTTATTATTATTATATATTATTATATTTATTATTATTTATTATTATATATTGTTGTTATATTTATTATTATGTATATTATTATTATATTTATTATTATATATAATTATAATAGTTACCTTGACCATATCAAGACTGCTTTTGAGGCGTTCATTACATTTTTGGTGACATTTCTCGTCGTCAAGCGCGTCGTCCTTGAACGAGTCACTCGAGAATTGAAATTTGTTCGATTTAGCGCTGCGAGATTCGCCCTCTTGCATTCGCTGCAGCTCTATTTCCAACCTTGCCAATTCAAAGGCGCTGTGTTCACGTTTCACTAGTTTGTGTGCATAGCGCTGACCTGAAATTAATTTCAGGTTGATTTTTCAGAGAATATTTAATGATAAGTACTAATAATAATTGTAAATGTGGTACCTGAGCAGAGTGTGGTGAATAGTGTGTAGATGATGAGAGTTAGATAATTCATTTACGGATTCGGGGAGAAACCTGGAATTGGAATTCGTATTATATATTTTTGTATGATTATTATTATTATAATTAATTAGTGATTATTAATTAATTAGTACTAATTAGTAATAATATTATAATGATAATTAATAATGATAATAATAATAATAATGAGGTGACTCCAGTGACCATATTATCGATAATAGCGTTGTGTTCTATTATCAAGGTTATATTATTGTTATATATAATAATAAATATATATATATATAATAATAAATATATAATAATTATTATGTAATGAACAATAATTAGGTTAATGGGTAAATGTTTTGTGTTGTATTAGCTTTGGTGAGCGATGTTTTCGTAATTTGGGTTATCACAATAATAATACATATATAATAATAATATATATAATAATA